TTAAATTATTGGAATCCCACCACTGATATAGGGGGGGGGGGGAATAGAGATAGTTGGAGTTTTGTAGCCCAAACAAAATAGTTTCTCTTGAGAACCAAGGACGTTCTTTGGCTAAAGAGAGGAGAAGTGAAATTTCCAAGCAACTGGACAGCACCTCGATTGGACCATGTGACGGATTGTTTGGGAAAGGGGGAAAAAACTTTTATGTTTAATTAGGTGAAAAATGTGGGAACCTTCAGAGCCAGTTTTCACCAGTTTGTGCCAATATGATATGCCCAATAAACCTGTTCTTTGAGGAACCTGCTTGCCTCGGAATTCTGTTTGCTATGGGTGTATTACTTGGAACCCTGACACTATCCGTCCCTATGAAAATCTAATTTGCCCTGGAAACCTTCTCTATGTCTTCACAACAAAACTTTTATCTTGTTTTGCTCAAGCAGAACATCATTTAATCCACAACGATCCACATACAGGCTGCAATCTTACAATCCAAGTCTATGTTTCCAATTGAGCAATTCCCTGGACTCTCAAAGGCCTCTCCTCCCTCGAATCATATCACCCTTCTCCTGCGTAATATACCTTTCTTCCGGCTTCATTGTTGTGCAGATTCATCAGCCTCCGAGCGCTCTTTCGGATTTCTCTGGCGTCGACGAACCTTCTGGAGAAGTCGATGCCATATCTGATATCAGCAGAACATCCTCCCCATTTCCACCCTTCCTCCTGGTTGTAATAACCTTGTTTCTCTCTGTCACAACCACAACTGCTGAGATTTCCCTGGCTGCAGGCAGCCGTGATTGCGTGGGCGACACCAGCGGCAGTGATGGCATAGGTGAAGGCGGCTTCTCTGCTTCCTGTGGGGACAACGTAGGAAAAAGGGAGGGGGGAAAATCAGAATATCATGAGTAACATAGTCCTTGGACATCTTGAAAAATAGCATAATTTTAGGAGCACACATGGCATTCATTCTTGTATCGGTGCAGTGATGGGTTCCGGATCCTGGCGCAACCGATACGCTGCGGCGGGGCCGTGCACTGTGCACACATGTGCACCACCACCCTGCAGCGCTCCAGCTGCTCAGCGGAGTATCATGCAGGCGGTGTACGCTGCGGACGCATTTGCAAATGGCCTGGTAGGGTCAAATACCGGTAAGGAGAGCAGGCAGGTGGGTGGGCCCTCTGCAGCACCATACCGGGATGGTACCTGCTGCTCCCACCAGGCACTGGTCTGCCCGTATTGGGGCCAGAAATGAGCCCATTTCCAGACTTCCAGAACTTCTGGGAGGCCTGTTTTTCATCCTCCCAAAGCCTCCACGCAGGCCCTGCACTTACCTGGCATCCAAAATGGGCCATGTGGAGACTCCTGGGAGGAGTGAAGTGAGGTGGGAGGGGCCATCCTGTCCTTTCAACTGCCGGTTTGGCGAACCAGATGTAAAATTAGCATCCAGTTCGCCCAAACCTGTCCAAACTGACTGAATCTCACCTCTGCCCTGATTGCTTTAAAGGGGAACAGTATGATGGATATGTACTTTCTAAAATTAATTTGCGATTACTTTTGTGAACACAAAGACTGGAAAATACTTCGCTGTCTTGATCTAATACGAATAGTTTGCTCCTGATCACTATCAAAGCACTGGATTAATATTTTCCACGGAACTGCTTCCTTAATTTCATCCACAATGAAGGAATTCTGTTCCTGGCCTTGTTCCGTGTAATCATTCTTAACCCAGGAATAAAACCGCAAATAAAGATCTCTTTCCAGGTCGAAGTTTCGGGTTTAACTCTCCGTCCCCTTCTGTAGGGCCTGTGCTTTCCGAAATCTGGAGGCCCTCCAGAAAAGTATGGGAATTATGTCTGAGAGGTGAAAGATTGCAATGTGAAGATGAGGAAACTGTCTCAGTGCTCCAGTCAGGCAGCTGGATTTTGGACCCAATCTATGAAATATTAGAAACATGGGTGTAGTCATATATGAAACCTCTAATTAAATCAACAAAAAATATATATAGTTTGAGAGGGATGCTGAAGTTATGGGCTTATGGTCTGACTATCAACCTTTCTGCCCTGCTAAGCAAACCTCTTTGCTAAGGTTGAGTTGAAGACAGAAGGCATTCCAAGTCCTCTGGGACTATCCCCAACGAAGCCTTGAGGTCTGCAACGTCATATTTCCAGTTCCCCAGCAATAAGTAGCATCCTGCTTTGGAAGGGCTGCTGTTCCCCAGAGATCATCAAGCAAAATGAGAGAGCAAGACCTAAACGTGCAAAATTGTCAGATTTCTCTTTTCTCAGCAAACCAAAGGAGCAGATTGCTTGCAGTCTGAACCACGTTGCTTCCTCCAAACGTTTGCGTTCCTTTTCAACATTAGGGCAGAGTTCTGTTTCACTCTGGCAAATGGTTTTCGCTCAACGGATGTTTCTGCTTAAGTGTAATACCATGATAGGGATAACTGCAGAGTGAAGTCATCAGATGGGTGGAGAAACTCAGAATCCTACCTTGTATAACTTTCTTTCAACCTAGTTGACTTTTAAGAAAGAAAGAAAGAAAGAAAGAAAGAAAGAAAGAAAGAAAGAAAGAAAGAAAGAAAGAAAGAGAGACAGAGAGACAGAAAGACAGACAGACAGAA